GACTTTTGTTTTTGTTTTGACTACACGCCTGACCTTGCTGCTGCTGCAGATGACAGGAGGAGGCAGCTCCGACGCACAATTGAGTTTTATTGAACAAATCCAGTTTCATAGCTAACTTTTTGTTTGATTTCAAGTTTTGTTTTAAATGTTTTTACAAATTAATGTTCATTTTTATAGAGATTTTTCATAATTTTTCATGGCGTCTTTCAAGAAAACCCAAGGACGCATAGATAATTAAACACAGTACAAAAGTACATAATACATATTTTAAAGTTTGAAGGTTTAAGAGATTTGAGTCTTGTTTTTTATATTGAAGTTTCTGGTCTTAAAAATGTCATCATTAGTAAGATAATAATTAATCTTTTATTTACATAGCGCTTGGGAAAACCCAGAGCGCTCAAAATTGTTTTGACTTAGGGAGAAAAACAATCTCATTCACAATCTCTGTTGTTTTTAAATTGGCCGTCTCAAGGATTGTTTTTCAGACTCTGCCTCACTGTACGAGAGGTCACTGCTGCGGACACTGGACAGCGCAAAGCCCACCCAGCCACAGGTCACAGATCAAAGAGCAAAGGAAAATGCCACCTCCTTGCCCCTCCCCCCACTACAGAAGTAAGTGGGAGTGAGACCGGGGCCATGAAAGAGAGGTATCTGGAGGCAGTGATGGGTGGAGCGTCAGGTAGAGACCTAGAGGGAGTTGAAAGTGTGTCTACGTGGTTTACATCACCACAGTGTGACCTTTGAGACCTACAGGTGGTTCGAGGAGTCTGGAGAGACAAACCCCAAAATTTACAACCCTACACACACACACACATACACACACATACACTCACACATTCACATTTACATATTGATACATGAAAAAGCAGAACATGAGAAAAAGCATTTTAAAAGTTTACTCCAATGTAAACACATTTTCAATTGTCTATCACTTGAATCTTTATTTGAATCAGTATTTTTTGTTCATTTACATGGACTTAATTGAACTGACACTTTTGATTTGTTGATTTTGTACTGTGTGAAGTAATTGTGTAAACAGCATGAATGAAATTGTGTTAAAGTAGAATCAAAGTGACTTAACCATAGAGAGTAACTATTGCATACAAGCTGTGTACAGGAACTGAGACACTGCACCATTGACCAGAAGTGCATCGCAAATGACCTGATGTGCTTCAAGTGAAAAGACTGTATCTGGAGATCTGATGTGCATCTGGAGTGACCAAAACCATGGCTTGGACCCTACTGATGTCCAAGATGAAGATGACCTGACCTGATGACGACTGAGACTCACCCTCAGGGGACCCTGAGGACCTGAGGACCTGAGAGAGAAAAACTGGGGAGTGATGTTTATATTTTTGAAATCATACATTGATGAGTGCTAAATGAGAGAGATACTCATGATTCTTTCTTTTGTTTTTGTTTGTGCCTAGCTTCTGGACATCTGATGATCTATTGGACACAGCCATTTGCAGAACAAGAACCAGCCAATGAAAACGTCTATTGCCGATGCTATTGCTACAACCAGAAACTGTGACAAATGCAATATACATGTTAAGTATTCAGACATCTGACAGACAAAACTTTGAAAAACTTTGAAAATGATAAAGTATAAGTATTGTAGCGTTTTAGTAGATGTTAAATAGTAGTAAAAAAGTAGAATTGTCCTTTCTTTGTTGTTCATAAACATATTTCCACGTAAGAGTTAAAATAGTACCGTACAATGTTATCCTTTTGATAGATCAGCTATAATATTAGAATCAGAATCATTATTTACAGCCATTAAAAGTGACAGAAGTCACAAAGCTAGAAATATGCCTTTGCTCAAACTGCAGCCAAACTTCAGAGTCACAATAGTGTAGAAATAGGAATAGATAAATGCATCAACCATAGATGCTTTCAAAAATAGAGAATATTTCTAGCCAGTGCTAATATCAAATGGTAAAGGGACCATTTCACAAGCATTTACTTCAAAAGTAGATAAAGTTAATTACAGTTTATGTACAGTTTTATTAGATACTTGCCAAATTCACTTGTGTTCACACATGAGTGAATGTTGACAATGCAAAAGTCCATATGAGTGTAGCCTAGATTAATGCCTAGATCAATAAATAGATTAGAACCAACAGAGATTCAAAAGCATTTAAAAGCATTTTGATGCATTTGTGTATAGCACAAAAACACAATAGTAGATATTTAGATATGGAGAAGTTTCCAGCACAAACACCATTGTAGAATAATTGACCCCAACCCCAAACGCTAAATTAGCTACTATTAGGATAATACTAATTTGATTAATGATGTACATTCATCCCAAACTGCCTGACAATAATATCTTTAGATAATAAAAAGTAATAAATCACTGACCACTATAGAAGTGTAAATGTTGACCATTTGCCTTACTGTGTTCACAGTTTTATTCCTGAGAATGTAGAATAGACATGGAGCAAAATCCCACTGATAATAAGCCACTGATAATGAGAGTATAATACCACAGAGAGATTTATTAGATTAAAATGTATGTTTAAGAATATGGCTCAATAGAAGCAAATATGCAAACATATTTGTGAATAGATTAGAATAGTTTTAAACTATAGTGAATAGTGAAAGTAAAGTACACAGTCTAAGATTGAAAAGTGAAAACAATACAGTGAAATAAGTGAAGTGTAAACAATTATCATTAGAATAAAAGTATAGAGTAAGAAAAGTGAAATTAGCTTCTAATTTGAGACTCAGCTCGTTTTTGTCTGTGTTTTGACTGAATCTGCTGAGTTCTTGTGTGTCCAATAATGTTTGTTTGTTTTTATTTTTGATTTGTTTTTGTTGTTTTTTGTTTATTTATTTACTTTATTTTTGATTGTTTGTTTATTTTTTTATTTTTTCCCAGGATAGAGGATAAAATCCACTGATATTGATTTGATGATTATGAGTTTAATGCATACATTTTCTTTGTTTTTAATAATTTTTTAAAGTTTTTTTTTGAATTTTTTTTTTTTTCTTTTTCCACTTTATTGATTGATCAAATTGAGTGATCACATGTGATTATGTGATCAAAGGGGAGGGTATTAGTATTAGATAGCAATATGGCCTACGTGCAGGACTGTACAAGGACTCTACAAGGACTCCATGTTATGACTATGATGTGACTGTCTCTTTGTGACACGTATGTCTTTCGATGTGTGACGTGACAATGACTATATAAACTGTGTACTGCCTTTATTCTGTCTGGGGGAAGGAAACAAAGTAAACCAGTGGAACTTGAGAGAAACTTAAATAAACTTCCAGAGTTTGGCACACCACGATCCGTCTCTGTCTGATTCATCCCTGACATAACATTAATTAAGTTAGCTACATCTGAACCGTGTCTGACCCATAGAACACTAGTAATCATTTTCCAAATCATGCCCTGGACATTTCAGTTCTATGGTTCAGCTTGGTACCATGGATCTATTATGGTAGGTACATATTCAGATGTTATTTTGATAAAGATAACCATGCCAAGACCTTATTAAATGCTACACTTGTTTAGATTCAACGCGGGACACGTGTTAGCCGCTTGACCCAAATCCACTGAAACGAGGAAAGAAGATATAGAAACTTGTTAATTAAATGCCATATGTCAACTTTAAGGTTAGTGTAACACGGTAAGTGACATCTTGTGAGAAGTTGGTACTCGTGTGGCGTGTTTATTTTGAGAATGTATTTAATTTTCTTACGGTAACTTGAAGCCAATTTAAGCATTGTAAATTGGCATTTTGTTTCGATAACTTGTCATTATGTTTGTGTACAATGCATTTTTTACCTTCTTGCTTATATGGTGTAATATTTTGTTTGCGGTGTGACATACTTACAAATATTTTCAATTTTGTCAATATTGGGCGCTTTTAACCAGTGAAATAACATAATATTTTTATTTAACCACGTACTAGTTATGTGACGTTCTTAATCCGGAAGTCCTTTTCGTTTTCTACATGTGGTAGCGTGGCCGAGTGGTCTAAGGCGCTGGATTTAGGCTCCAGTCATTTCGATGGCGTGGGTTCGAATCCCACCGCTGCCATTACTTATTTTTCGTCGTATTAAATATTTCGGTTTGGTTTTTATACTTCACTTAACCATCGTTTCATCATTTAAAATAGCGAGGTAAGAAACAGTTTGTATATTTTCTTTATCCATGTTGGATAAACCCTAATAAACATTTGCCTCATGTGCAGAGTTGGCTACTTCTTTCAACGTGTTGGCTCAAAAATAATAATAGTGCTTATGATTTTTGTAGATGATCTTAATATGCTTTATATCCGCACTTATTATTCCATATTTCATGATTACAGTATTGTATGTTATTATAAGAACAAATGTGATGAATTATATTTTATATTTTATTTTTGACATGATAATATTGCTATTACTGCAATAGTATAAAAACGTTTATCCTGACGTTTACATTATTTGCAGTAACAAGGTTAAGTAGCAGTTCTATTTCCTCTATATGGTTTATGTGGCAGGCTAGCTGTAGCACACTATAGTTATTTCCTAGGACTAACCATGGGGAGGCTTCATTTTTCATGCAGCTAAAATATGGAACAGTCTTCTTGAAAATGTGAGACAGACTTCTTCTCTGACAATTTTCTAATCCAGATTAAAACGGTTCTGTTTAGCTGTGCTACAAAGGTTTAGGTTCTTTTTTTTTTTTTATTCATCTCATGAAAATGCATAGTTATACAAGTTTCAAAACATTCAAACAAATCATTTAAACATTTCCATGATCAGAAAGTATTGTATCTTCACTCGTTCTAATGCACTGTGATTGTTAATGATAGTAATGCCTTGTGTGATTCTGTTTATCTGCACATTGAGTTTCCTTGTGTATTTGCAGTAAGGAATCTAGAGCTAAACTGTCACTAAATAATATTAGTAGCAGTTTGTCTAGTAATGTCGTTAAAAACTCAAAAACAGAATTTTGTATAATATTTATCTTTTATTGACAAGAATTCTTCTTAAATGCATCAAGTGGATTTCCTCTCCTCCTTTAGTTGTGCTGCTAAATAGTTCATCTTCTTTATGGCCCACTGAGTGTCTTCACCGGAGATGTCCAGATGCCACACGGCTCTCACAGAGTTCTCAAAGTGCGGATACATGAGCACCTGCACCGCCTGTCCCATCGCCGACTGCTCCCCCTGGTGGATATTAGACATACGCGCACAAAACTCAGCCGGGGCCAAATCAGCACAAAGTCTGAAGCGCAAGATGTTGGTCTCCACAGCCGACAGGTCCACGTGGAAGAAGTCAGAGGAGCAATCGAGTAAAGCTGCAGAGAAGAGGAAATCATATCAAGAACAATTTAAAACTTATTTACAGTTGTGCTTGAAAGGTTACAGGAACCTGATGTCCAAGAAGAATGTGAATTGTCTTTAGGAGAGAGAGAGAAAGAAACCTCATGCTCAACTACCACACAAGATTATAACCTATGGGTGTGGTTAGCCACACCCTAATCCTGATATTAACTCATAAACAACCCCCTGCTGAGGCTAACGACCCTAACTGTGTCACAGACCTTGTCCCAAGTTAGAGCGTTGTTTTAGGATGTCTATTCCGAGCCAGAATTTTAACCTCGGTGTCATCCACCGTGTGGTTGGAGGCCTTGAGGTGGAGATGAACAGCCAACTGTGGCCCAACCTTCCTTTGCTTTGACTAATCCCTGTACGACTGAGGGCTTACACAAATTTAAGAGTTAAGGAAATATATATATTTTTTAGGGCTGTCAAACGATTAATTTTTTTAATCGAGTTATTTAGAGCTTAAAAATTAATTAATCGTAAATTAATCGCATTTCAAACTATTGGCAAAATTATGCCAAATTTTTCTGTAAATGGTTGTTTGAATGGCAAGATAAATGACAGCTTAGTGAACATATATACTGTATTTGTTTGTTATAACAATAAATCCATATAAAATGGAATTAACATTATTAACATTCTGTCTTTCTGTTTAGACTCAGACCAAAACCATTGTTTGTTACAGATGAGGGACATTTCAAAACAGTCTGAAATGCAGAATGTCATTAAATCTGTTTGATTTGCTCACACCATTACTTTTTTTGGCACAACTAACATGAACTGGTAGTCGAAAGGAAAATTAGGTACCTCAGCTTTAATTTAGCGAGTGCGCTTTGGGAGAAGACACGGAGGAAACTGAGGCTCCGCAGTCCAGCTTCAGCGCTGTAGATATTGTGTGCATCGGTTACGCAAAGACACGTACGCACACTAGAGAATAGTTCTGTAATAGTTCTGTGCGTGGTCTTGGATATGATCCCATTGCGCAGCGCCGTTTGCCGTCATCACAGCCGCTGGAAGTGGTGCTGCTGTCCAGAGCGCTGTGGCGCCCACAGCTCATCATGCAGAGTTCATACAGGAAACAACAAGTGCTCCCCTCTGGGAATTTCAAAACTTGAATTCCCAGAGGGCCTACCTGCTCTGTCCCCATCTTACACACGCGCATGTGTCCGCGGCATTCTGAGTGTTATTATGGGACGCATGGGCATGCGTCAAATGCGTTAATTTTTTTAACGCGATTAATGAAAAATATTAATTAACGTGCGTTAACGCAATAATTTTGACAGCCCTAATATTTTTTTTTGTTGAAAATTTGCTTCACACTAACAATTGACAGCATCAGCATCATTGTGGTCGAAGCATAGATGGCTAAATGTGGTTGGAACAGATAAAAACCTTGAGCAAAGGTCCTGGCGTTCCTGTGGTCCTCCTGGAGTCTGTCCACCATCTTCAGCAGAGACAGTTTTCCGGCTGCAGCTAGAATTCCGCACTGACGCATGCCTCCTCCCAAGGCCTTCCGACATCGCACCGCTCTGGAGATGAAGTCACTCGGACCGGCCAAAATAGTGCCAACTGGTGATCCTAAACCCTACAGAGAGACAAATTGAATTAGAAATGGTGCGTACAGGGAGCAGGATGAACACTTGTACTGGACATTTAAGGACATATGTGGACGGTATACTAATCATCAAGATAATATTTCTACTAGGGCTGTCAAACGATACATTTTTTTAGTTGATTAATCGCATAGTAATGGTGAGTTAACTCACGATTAATCGCATATTTAACATTCTATTTCAAATCCACTCCAATTGAAGTTAAATTACATTTTCAAATGTAATGACACATTGTTATTGATACCAAATGTACTTAAATCTGTTTGACTTGCTCACAACCTTCTACTTTTGGGTACAAAAGTAGAAGGTTGTTAATGAAAGGGAAAATGTAGATACCCCAGCTTTAATTTTGCGAGTTTGGTTGTATTTCAGCGTGTCTCCTTCTCTCCTCCGTGTGTCACACAACATCAGAGAATGGCCCCTGTGCGTGTATATATACGTGTATTATATGACCACGTTACCGCTGTCACCATCACACACACGCACGGCATTCTGAGTGATATTATTATAAATGGGCGGGTCATTCGGACATGTGATTGACTGCCAGCCTATTTCAGAACTCCCATATTGCCTGCTGTTTCTGATGATTTTTACTGAATTTTTAAGACCCACAGAATATTGTGTACTATGACTATCTAAATTCTGAAAGAATGGACTGTCTACTTTCATCAGCAAAAAGAATTTTGTTTCTAGCTGGTTTCGTTCCCCTGTAATCCCCAGTCGAGTAGAGGTAAGTTTTATTATCTTATCTAGCTTCTAGCTGTTTTCAAACCATTCATAGAGCAATGCTGCCATCTGCTGGCTCGATAAAATATTGCCTCAAGCCTTACATATTTGATACAATAGACATCTGGGAACGTGAAAATAGCGGGCATTGGCAGTTAATGCGTTAATTACCTTTTAACGCGTTAATGAAAACGGTAATTAACGTGAATTAACGCAATAATTTTGACAGCCCTAGACGCATATATTGCCCACCTACATTGTTCACTCACACATCCCCCACACAGAGATGCCTGACCTTGGACAAACACACGCTGACTGTGTGTGTGTGTTGGAGAATCGTTTTAGCAGAGACTCCCAGAGCCACCGCAGCATTCATCAGGCGAGCTCCATCCATGTGAACCTTCAGACCGTACTTATCCGCTACACTGCGCACCTGAAACACACACATATCACACAAGTATCAGGAATATACTTATTTATTATATGACTTGGACCGTAAGCGCGCTCTGATTGGCTGATTACCGGTCTGATGTTTTCCCATCTCGGACCGTTACCATGACAATTGGTCCGAACAGCGCGTATCACATTTGATATCTTTCCTCGGACCGTTACCATGACAATCTGTCCGCAGCGCGTATCACACAAAACCAAGTCGGACATGAACATACTTCACAAATATCTCAAAAGCATTGGTAAAGACACAGACGAGAGTCATATGATAAAACATTTATTAACCTCGCTTGCTCGGTCTGTACAGAGAAATATCAGACCTTGGCCTTTTTGCACAGGCCTGTACTTTAAGGTCGCGGTCTGATATTTCTCCATACAGACCTCGCGCTCAGTTAATAAGCCGTTAATATTACTACCTTATGTGTCTGACTTTAAACTTTTAAACCCAAATATCTGTACTTTCTACTAAATTACTAGTGACTTGTTTGAAGGGAAAGCGAAGCCAAACCTGATGATTTTAAATGTTGTTTTATAAAAGATACCTCCTTCAGGAAGTGTAGCGGCAGCACGCGTCCTCCCTGGATGTTGTGAGTGTTCTCCACACAGATGAGTCTGGAGCGCGGATAATGAGGATCAGGAAAACCGTGTCGGATTTTGGACTCTAGTTGGTCCAAGTCGAAGGTTCCATCGGGGAGAGTGATCAGTGTGGTGGAGTGGACACCAGCCAACTGAGAGAGGATCAGAGCACTGTAAGTGTTAGAGCAGGGGTCGGATTCACAGAACGCTCTTATTAAAATGCAGGAAAAAAAGTGCCGGTCTTTCTGGTCTCTTTCTGGTCTCTTTCTGGTCTCTTTCTGGTCTCTTTCTGGTCTCCATCTGGTCTCCATCTGGTCTCTTATTAAAGTGCAGGAAAAAAAGTGCCGGTCTCTCTGGTCTCTTTCTGGTCTCTTTCTGGTCTCCATCTGGTCTCCATCTGGTCTCCATCTGGTCTCCATCTGGTCTCTTATTAAAGTGCAGGAAAAAAAGTTCCGGTCCCTCTCTGGTCTCTCTCTGGTCTCTCTTAATACTTACTCTCTCTCTCTCTCTGTGTCGGAGGTAACGGCTTCGTTTTTCTCTCTAATAATTAGAATTTTTTAAAATACAGACTATAGTTTTGTGTTTTTGTTGTTTGAATGTTAGGTACCCCAGCTTTAATAGAATGGTCAGCAGATACTACATCTGTTTTGGCGTTTTGGTTTTTAGTCCCATTTATTGCTGCAGTGACTTTGACCTACAGACCTCTGTTCAGTTGTCCCTCTGAGGCTTTTCTCTTACCTGTGCACTTCCTCCTTGCTCGTAAATATGTAAATGTGACTTATCCCCGACTATGACCTCGTCTCCTCTCTCTCTGCAGTGCACCATCACTGTGAAGAAAAAAACGTTTATGAGGTCAATGAATACATTGAGAAGACTCGCAGCTTTAACTTTATTATAGTAGACTGAAGCCCCGTAGAGTAGAGTAGAGTAGAGTAGGGCCTGGTGGAAACAGGGCTCAAAATGTTCACTCATTCACAATCTGTAAGGCATCATGGTTTTGTGCATGTATATGTTGCTCTGCTTGAAATGTTCTGAGAAAGTGGTGTCTTGTACTATATTCTTGTACCTCATAATAATAATAATGATAATAATGCATCGGTTTCATATAGCACTTTTTTGACACGCATCATTATTCATTCACTCCACACACGGTGGTGATAAACTACTACTGTAGCCACAGCTGCCCTGGGGCACACTGACAGAAGCGAGGCAACCAGTATGTGCCATCGGCCCCTCCTACCGCCACCAACCATTCCTGCCTAAGGACACAACGGCAGTTTGGCACTTTACAGCCGCAGCCGCCCCTCTGTGGCACCTGGTGTTCCCAGTACGAGTGTACTCTGGTGTACTACAGTCTTGTACCCCAGACTTTCACTACAGTTTTGTACTACAGTATTTTGACAGCAGTACCTGCAATCAGGTTTCCCATAGTTCCCGTGGGCACAAACAGAGCAGCTTCCATCCCAAACGTTTCAGCCGCAAGTTTCTGTAATTCTGTGGAAATAGATAAACACTCAATAAATTCATGTTACAAGAAACTAATAACCTCTGGAATTCTACTCTGCACCTTCTACTCTGCACTCTAGTGGGCCACAGTCGGCTGTTCATCTCCACCTCAAGGCCTCCAACCACACGGTGGATGACACAGAGGTTAAAATTCTGGCTCGGGAGAAGAATTGGTTTGAGAGAGGGGTGAAAGAAGCCATTTTTGTGAGGAAACAAAAACCTTCTCTTAACAGAGGAGGAGGGTTAAGATTTGTTTTGCCTCGCATCTATGACGACATCCTAAAAACAACGCCCTAACTTGGGACAAGGTCAGTGACATGCTAATGAGTTAGGAGGGGTGAGACCTACACTCCACTTGAGCATCCCAGCAGACAATAGGTCTGTGACATGCTAAGGAGTTAGGGTTGTTAGCCTCAGCAGGGTCGTTAGACCTGCTCCCTTCTACATCAAACAGACCTGAGATTGTTTACGAGTTAGTATCAGGATTAGGGTGTGGCTTACCACACCCATAAATTATAAATCTCCAACGCGCGGTGCGAGAATTCATTCCCTGAAGAAGTCCCCAGGTTGAGGACGAAACGTCGGGAAAACTTGCTAAGAAGTACAGATGATGGGTGAGAAACCTTCCTTTGCTTTGACTAATCCCTGTACGACTGAGAGTTTACACAAACTTACTCTGCACCTTAGTCAAGTTATCCAAATGTTTTGGCTTTAACGGTTTAATTATGTCACTGTCTTGACTATAACCAAACAAGGGAGAGGCTAATTTTCACCTAAATCAGACCTGTTTAACAGGATCTTAACCCCATACCATCAAAACACTTGATATATAAATATATTTTTTTTAGAATTAATGAAAATTATGTTCAAATCCAGGTAAAAACAGTTTTCTGATTAATAAGAATTTTTTGTTGCACTTCAACTTCCCTTGTGCATGATTTCTGCTGAGTAGTGAGTGGAGTTTGCATGTTCTCCCCGTGTCTGCATAGGTTTGCTTCGGTTTCCACTAAAGACATGTTTGACAGCTCTCTTCTCTCTGGGGCCAAGATTCCCCTGAAAAAGACATTCTGGAATCTCAGTGGGACTGGTTAGAGAAAGGTACTAAACTGATATGTGTGTGTTTTAAAGTGCTTCACAAATAAAGTTGGATTGGATGGGTGTAGTTTTGGATTGTCTGTAACTTTATTGACGTAATGTGTCATATGCACGTCCTCTGTGCTGGAATGATGTCACAATGTGGAAGTTTCCGGCAAAACAACAATTTAAAGGAACATCAGCAACACACAGACCCTCCATAAAGTGTGTTCCTCTACTGTCCTGTTACAATTCAATTCAATTTATTTGTGAATTGCCCTAAATCCCAACAGCAGTCATCTCAGAGGACTTTACAAAGTTATCGAGTCACCAAAAATATATCTGAGAATCTAACAATAACAAACACATAGGCCCCATTGGTTCATAGGAAGCAGGATGACCACTGCCCAGTAATGTTATTAAATATTAATACATGTCCTGGATCATATCAGGAGGGTCTCACTGTCCTTAGACCCTCCTGAGAGGAACCAGTCACTAACCCAGAGGGGAAAACGAGAGAGACCACAGAGACTAGAGAGAGAGACCAGAGTGTTCTCTGGTCTCTCTCTCTAGTCTCTGTGGTTGGTTGAGAACTTCTGATTAAACTTTTTGTATAGTTTGATGACGTTTGTTTGTGCTTTGTCAAGTCTCATGAGAATGTATCTGCCTGGGAGACATTACAGCTTTATTTAATACATTTTCCTGCTTTTGCTAAGATAGTTTTAGTGCGTAATTTGTGATAAACTAGTCCTGCTTTTCGCCCATAAGCTGATACTCCCACAACAGCCGGACTCGTACCGTTCACCGTGGGGTCCTCTCCCATCACGTCATCCCCCACCTCGGCCTCGGACATGGCCTGGCGCATCTCCGCTCCAGGCCTGGTCACCGTGTCGCTGCGGAGGTCCACTACCCGGGCTGCTGCGCTCCTCTCCGGCTTGCCAGAGTCGTAGTAGCCCCTGGTTATAGTGGAGCCCGTGGGAAGCGCTGAGGCCGCCATGCGAGCTCTCTGAGGCGGTGTGGTGTGCAGGGGGATCCCGCGGTGCTGGAGACACCTGCAGAGGAGAGATTTCAGGTGCATTGTGCTGTGTTTGAATCTATATCAGTTACATTAGCCCTCAGACAGGACTTTGGAGCCACCTGTGCGCTCAGTGATTATGTGAGACTAGAAACAACAGAAGCCATGTGATAGAAAGGTGTAGTAAGCAGACGGAGACTCAAGATGGCGCCCCTGGACAACTAATCCTAAAAGGATCGCCCATAGACTTTATATTGGGTTTATTTATTGCCTCGGTCATTCACCCACAACAACAAAAACTCGACCAAAATTAAGTTATTAGATTGGGCTATTTTGCAGACCAAACAAAATGTTATTTTTTGCCTACATCACACTTATTTAACATGATTTTAACCTTATCTTTGCCTCCTTCACTGCGCATATCAACACTCGGTATACATAGTTCCTACATGACGTCACTACATACGGGGATTTGCCGACCCGGCGCCATTTGTGTTGGCATTCTGTTGGCAAAACAATAGAAAAAGAAGCTGAAACGTGTTAATGTCGTGATAAAGTTGAAAATGGTCATCTCCTGCTGGGTCAATGGATGTTCAAATCGTGCCGGAGGTTCCGTTAAACTTGGATTTTACAGTATACCCATCATTAGACTTCATGAATGTGAGAAGACTAAGCTTTTGTCAGAACAACCACGGAGGTTATGGCTTGCGAAGATAAACAGGCAAGAAACTCCCTCAAAACACGCAAGAATATGCTCGGAGCACTTTGTGTCAGGTGCGTATCGTATCTTATAATGTGTTGACAGACGTAATTTACTCAGTACTAACTTGTGTATGCTGATAGCTGGTAACTAGAGAGTTTCATTATTTAGATTACTTTATTATGAGGAGGATCGGTGTCGCGTCCGAGGCTCTCGAGGGCAACGTAAATGTATTAAATAGATAATAATAGTTCTATGGTGGGCTAAAACAATGTTCACAAACAGCATTGCTTCTGTAAAAAGATCTGTGTCATAAAATAAACTGCTCTTTACGCCTGGAAAAATCAGTTGCCCACCATTCACCAAAACATACGGTCAAAAACGCGGAAATAAACAATAACAGCAATCCAGAGTGTCCGTGTGGCATTAGCATTATTTAAATTAATTGTTAATATAATTAAAATAATTAAATGGAGCTCCAACTGGTATTAAATCTAAAGTTTTTGAGAAATGTTTGCATTGCTTGTTAATTTTTGCTGCATAATTTGATCAAATATGTAAAACATGTCCGTAGCACGTTAAACTGTGGTGCCATTGTATTAATATACAATTATTTGCTCAAAAGTTGCCCTTTTTTTCCCAGTTTGCGTTTGAATATCTACATTTATTCTCATTCTTCTGTTTAATGGAATGCACAAACACAGCAGCGTGCCATCAAAGATGGCGTCTCCGAGGAGGTCATGTGACATTCATTGGTCTGTGGGAACTATGTATAGACCATAGACTGTATATAGACTCAACAATTTTTGTTAGAAGTAATGAGAAAAATGTCAAAAAGATTACTTGCGTAATGAAATGTAGCGAATAGATGTAGATAGAATGTTTTTACTTTTGGCATTTTATCTTCCCTCTATGTTTGCGCTAGTGATGAGGCAGGTTTATTTATATAGCAATGTGGTGTTTCGATCTCATAAAAAAATCACGTAATAATAATAAATCATAATTTTTATAGTGACTCACAGGGCTCTTACTCACGTGAGTTTTTTCTGATTTGTTCACAACATTGCACTTTTTAAAGACTCTTGTGTTTTATTTATGAAAGAAAAAAGGGAGGTACCCCAGTTTTAAACACACACACGCACACACACACGCACACACACACGCACACGCACACACCTGAAATCTCCCCTGAGCCTGTTACAGTGAGAATCTCCCGCTGCCGGTGACTCAGGCTGGATACTGCATGTTCTGTGACTGTGATAATTGTACACTACAGAACTGTCTGTTTACAATAAACGCAGATGACGGTGACACTAAAGTATTTTTATTCATTGGCCTCTTCTCCGCCTCCTCTTTTCTGTGGCGGGTCATTCTTCTCAGCAATTATTACACATACAGTGGGGCAAGTTCTCCCACTTAATTTCCATCCTAGGTAAACCTCAACTATGAGAGACAGAATGATAAAAAACAAAACAAAGAGACTTTTAGAAAATCACATCTCTCTGCTCTCCCTCTCTGTGTTCTGTCTCTTTCTGTCTCTGGTCTGCTCTCTCTCTCTTTGTGTCTCTCTCTCTGCTCTTCCTCTCTGCCTCTCTCTTTCTCTGTCTCTCTGTTCTTCCTCTCTCTCTCTGCCTCTCTCTTTCTCCCTCTCTCTCTCTCTCTCTCTGTCTCTCTCTTTCTCCCTCTCTCTCTCTGTCTCTCTCGTTGCCTCCTCTCAGCTGTAGTAGTCCTCTGGAGAGCTCTAATATTTGATAATAACAGTTAATGAGTTTTAATCACGACTTCTAATGGCTCATAAAAGCTGCCTGTTACTGAGACACATCTCTGTGGACTAGTGTGGTCCCCATGACCAACTTATTATCAATATGTCTAATAGAGTCTCTCTCTTTGGTGTCTCTCCCTGGTCTTTCTCTAGTCTCTCTCTGCTCTCTCTCTGTTCTCTCTCTTTGCTGACTGGATCTACTCTAATATATTATGATCATCAATTTCAAATTGATAAAAGTGAACAAAATATGAATGTTAAAAACTTGACTGCTTCTTATCTTTATGAATATGTCTTATTCCGATGTGTTTTGCTGCTCGTTGCTCACAGCAGAACATTCCACTCTAGAGGCTGATGGTGTTTCATGGTATAAAATATTGGATTAGCGCAAAAGAGAGAGAGAAGTGAAGGAGCGGCAGAAATATTGACTCCTTCTGGGAAAGAGCGAGACGGCCTTTCCAATAACCATAAACGCACAGGGCTCAAAATAGACCACGTGTTCCGTCAGATAAACCCAGATTTCACAACCGTCTAACCCTCTCCCCTCAACCACAGAATCTCACCACCATCACCTCTTATCCATGACGTTACTTCTACTCCACTCCACATTTGTATCTATTTTAGATGATGTAGATCCGATATTCAGTATATGTCTTCATCAGATCAACACTATGTCTCATGCTTCTCTAAGGTTCACTAATAAATGTAAATCCTTGACCCATCATTGTGAATGTTGGCCTTCTGTATCCACCAGGAGATCAGGACACTGGTGCACTGTTGTTTAGAAGGCGAGAAGAGAATAAAAGAGGCGGGGGTCTGGGGGCCGTGTACAGCAGACAGAAGAGATATTATTGATGTTACGAAGAGACATGACCAAAGAATTGCTGTGAGAATGTGTATACCATGCACACCGTCCAATCAGTAGCTGCAGTCTTCAGATAACCACAACATGAGCCTTGAGCATTGTGTTGTTAGAATTATGAGTTCAACTTTTACTACAGTTGCTTCAAAGTGTTATAAGTGTCGAGTAACCGTTTGTAGGAATGTACTTCAAATGGAAAGAGTAGATTTGGAATGTCTTCTTTACTAATTGTACTTTTCTGCAATTCTGCAAATATTTTGTGTTTTGCTTCTTTAAAATTATTTCACTGATTTTAAAACATTAAATGTCGAACAAACACTATTGCGATGTCCACTCCTATGTACGCTTTATCTGGTTCAATCTTTGAGACCAGAGAGAGACCAGAGAGAGGCCAGAAAGAACGAAAAAAGCTAAAGAGAGACCACGAGAGAGAGGGCTTTTTCTTACAAAAGGTTATTTTTGTACAAGAAGCCCTAACCCTAACCAGAGAGAGAAAAGAGAGAGAAACCCCACCCGGACCAGAGAAATAAAATCAGCTTTCCGCCCAAGTGTGTAGTGGTGAGGAATGACCTCAGGACAAGCACATTCCCAGGAATGTCATGAAGGATGCAGTCACTTTACAGTTACTAAATAGTCACAAGGAACATGGAAAAGTAGGTTATGGCAATGTATTTATTCCAATAATCTCACATTACTTTTCATTGTTGATGTTCCTGGAAATGTCATCAGGATTCAAACAATGGGAAGAGACTGGAAGAACACTCACCAACAAGACCAGAGAGAGACCAGAGAGAACAGTTGTAACGAATATGCACACTGGGGTCAAGTGTGGAACGTGGAACAGATGGTTTCAGTTCCAAAGAACTCACACCTCTTCAGACTCGGCGCTGCTTTTGCACCAGTAAAACATTCACCTGTTTGAATGGACGTTGTCTGTTTTATAGAAGACTAAATCAAGCGACCGTTTTGTATATTTTAATGAACAGATCATTTTTAAAAAGACCTTACTGATTTATTTATTGGCCTGAGAGGGGAGAATTTATACATGTTTTTAGTGGTAGGAGAAACCAGAGCACCCAGAGGAAACCTACGCAGACAAAGGGAGATCATGCAAACTCCACACAGAAAGGCCCCATCTGGAACTGGACTCCAAGCCAGGACCTTCTTGCTGAGAAGCAAAAGTGCTAACCATTCTGCCACAGTACCAAATGGACATTCATAAGCCTCCACAAGGACCAGAGGAGGCTCCAGACCTCCATAAGGTCCATGAGTGACCAGAGAGAGAGAGACCAGATCGGGACCAGAGAGAGAGAGAGAGGAACCAGAGGGAGAGACCAGGTAGAGACCAGAGAGAGACCAGAGAAAGACCAGCGAGAGACAGGACAGAGAGGAGGCTCCAGACTTCCACCAGGTCCAAGAGTTTTATTTTGTATTCTTTTGTTACAGAACTTGTGAAATATACATTTTGATTGATTGAATAAAATTGGTTTGACGAGAAGATGAACCACTGAACGACTGCAGAATATTGTGATCAGTTGTCAGTTACTGAATGTGGACGACACAGGATGCAAAGAATCTAAACTCTACAATTGCAGTACTTTATTATGACTTCATTAGACCTCTGAGACGTACTGTCCCTTTAACTGTCTCTGTGTGTCTTTCAATACTTGTGTGTCGTTATTCTCGAGGACAAGGGAACATCTCTCCATGTCACAGATGGAAGCTAACCATTTGGGAAT